GGGACGAAGCCTATTGAAAATGGTTAAGATCGGTCCATTAGTTCACCTAGCCCCCATACAACTGAACCCCCCAAAAGGGCTTGTAATCCTTGTAATCAAACTACAGGTCGCAATTTTGGAGATAATTCAATGAAATTTGGCACATGATCTTTTATGGTACCGTAGACGAAGCCTACTGAAAATGGTTACCATCGGTCCATTATTTCACCTAGCCCCCATACAACTGAACCCCCGAATAGGGCTTTTAAAAGTTGTAATCAAACTACAGGTCGCAATTTTGGAGATAATTCAATGAAATTTGATCTTTTGGTACCGTAGATGAAGTCTGTTGAAAATGGTTTACATCGGTCCATTATTTCACCTAGCCCCCATACAACTGAACCCGCCGAATAGGGCTTTTAAGTTCATAATTATGTTTAATATACTCATATCTCGACAAAAAGCTGCAATAACCAAGTTGTATACAGGACTTGATGACCCCCACGAAATCCATAATAATAGGTTCTCATATGACCCTAGCCCCTATGAAAAGCCCCCATCAAAATTTCACTTAAATGTCCACAATTTTATTCAACAATAAACGGCTTAAGTATGTATATCTAATGCAAGGTACAATTCAACTTAAATGCTTTATTATGGCAACTAAATCACATTATATTTTTGTCAAAGGTGTAGGGTATTATATAGTCGGCCTCGCCCGACTATAATTTCTTACTTGTTTTTTTTTCTGTTTTTGCAAATGACATTTGTTTACCAAAAAACAAAACAAATACAACTCAACTAAGAAGAGAAAGAGAGATTTCTGCATTTTGTTGAAGGAGAGCTTATTGTCATATGGGAATTTATTTAATAAAGAAAAGAGATAACATAAAGAAAGACAAGGAAAGCTATAGCTTAAATAAAAGAGCGCAAGCCAATACATATTTGTTGAATTGTTATTGTTGTTTTTATTTGTTATATATGGAGGGATTTTAGTTGATTTGTTTGCTGTTGTTGTTGACGATTTTAAAACTGTCATAAATCTTAATTTGTAAGAGTTGGAGATGATGAATTAAAGAAATAAAATAAAAATAAATTTAAAAAGAAAACAACAACAACAAGTTTTTTAAAGTGGAGATGAGGAGGGAATCCAATACAAAATAAATTTGTTTAAACAATAATTAAAATTTGTTTAACAAGTTTTTTTTTTGAATTTTCCTTTAACTGTCAGTTTGATAAATTCATTTAATTTTCTGTTGTTTTTGTTTTTGCTGAAGAGTTCATCATCAGACAAAAAAGGGGCTTTGCTTTTGTTAAACATTTGATTGATGTTGAAAAGAGAACAATATATTCATGTTTTGGTAAGGCTGTCCTTGTCTAACTTAAATCTTTTTTTAATACATTTAAATGAGCATCAATACCATAATACTCTAACAGCAGTTCGTCAATTTCATATCAAAGAAAACACAAAACAAGCTAAACAACAACAAAGTGCTAACAAAAAGTAAACAACAAAATGAAACGGAATGAAATGAAATGAGAAAGAGAACATTAATGAGAAGAAGCAAAAAAACTCTCCTTTTAGAAAAGAGTTTAATAAAGGAAATTTTTGTTTATTTTATAAAGCAAAGGGAAATTTTTAAAAAGAGAGCGTTAAAAAACCTGTTAGTTTTTGTTATTAAAAGAGAAACAGAGAATTTATTTACTAAATAAAGGGGAAATTAGCTTTAGCTTTGAGATTTATAGGAATTTAAGAGTTCTTTGTTGAAATTTAGGAAATTCTAATAAGATTTTTAAGGGGTATGTTTTGAAAGTGAGAGAGAGAGAGTGTTTCTGTTTGCTTTTATTTACTAAAAAAGTATGTTTTTTCAACCAAATTTACAGCTGATTTGTGGTTTAGTTAGCATTTTACCTTTTAAACGTGCGATTGTGGATAATTTTATAAAATTTCAATGCGGTTTAATGGTTATGATTTAAATTTCAATATAAATGCCGCCGTTAATTTGATTTTAGAAAGAAATTTCTTTAAAAAAAAAACTTTTAAAGCTTTTTATTAGAAATTGTTTAGCAGAGTGATAAGAGTGTTTATGCTTATAGAAGAGAGCTGAGCAAGAGTGATAAATGTAATTATGACAAGTAGCAAAGGTTTATGAAGTAAAATTTTTATTTTAAAGAGTTTTTTTTTCGTTTGGGGCTTTCTTTCTTTCTTTCTTTCAATTTGTGGAGTAAGCGCAGTTAAGTGTTTGTTTTCATTTTGTGAGTGTAATTGAACGCAAAACGTGCATAAACTTGTTTCAACAAGCTTTGGCAAAACAAGTACTAATAAGCAGACATCACGCGTACGTTTAACCAGGCGGATGTAAAAGTGATAAAAACGCTGAAAACTAAACAGAAATTTGAGAAAATTTAAGAAAAAGCGTAAATATCGAAAGACGGAAGATAACGAAAAAAGTAACGTAAATTTCAAAAAGAAAAACAAACACGTGAATGGCAAATAAAATTAAAAAAACTGGAAAAAAATCAAAAATAAAACTTTTTTTCCAAAAATATCTAAAAAATTTTAATAATTTAAAAAATTTTTAAAAATCTAAAAAATGTTAAAAATTTGTTAAAAACGTTAAAATTATGAATTTTTTTTTTTAAATCATAAAAAACTTAAAAATTTCATATTTTTATCCTATATTATAAAAATTTATGAACCAAATAGGAAATTTTTTTCAAAATTTATAAATTTAAAGAAAAACTTTTGCTAAATTTAACACAAAATAAAGAAAAAATGTAAAAAAAATTCCAAAATTTTTTAAAAATTGGAAAAATTTTTTAAAAAATTTAAAAAATTCTGAAATTTTTTTGAAATTTTGCCTAAAAACACTTTCTGAATTTACTCTAAAATTAAAATTAATCGGCAAAAAGTGTTAAATTTTAAAGAAAATCTTTAAAACACAAAAAAGATTTAAAAATTATTAAAAAAAAAATCAACGAAAAACTTTAAATCTTCAAGAAAACCCCTAAAAATTTTTAAAATTTTAACAAAATTATTAAAATTTCTTAATAAATTTTTTACTAAAAAACAAAAATTTGTTAAAAATTTGTTTTAAAATTTGTTCTTAAGAAATTTACAAAATCCCAAAGGTCCAGTGACTCATTTAAATTTCCCTAGAATTTTGTTATTTACTCTTTTCCTAACAATATTTTGATTGATAACTAACTTAAGTTTAGCTTTTGTCAAAGAAATGTTAAAAATTATATTGACACTGGGCTGAAAACCCCAACTCCCCCTCAAAACACACAACAACAAAACAAATTTAAGCTCTTTACAACTAACAAGCAAAAAAACGCGTGCTTAAATGCTCTTTTCTTTCACTCACCAACACACGCACTCACAAACGTAACGGGAGACAGCTCAGTGTCATCAAAACACAAAGAGTAAGAAGAGTTGAAAAGAAGAAAAACAAAACATACAACATTTAACAGTCTGCATAAGCAAGAGTTTTGTTGTTGGTGATAAACATTGAGGAAAAGAACAACAACAACAACAAAGGCAGAAAATTGACGAGTAAGCAAAAGCAGAGCAAATACTCAAAGCATCACTCTTATTATTATCATCATTTACTCATCAAAAAAGATACATACACGAGACGTATGGTAGTGATGTTTGGCTGCTGCTGCTTTGTTGATGCTTATTCTTCGTTTGCTTCTTAAAGCACAAGTATTTGTTATTGTTGTTGCTTCTTTCTTTCTGCTACTCATCCAACCAACCAAGCAACCAACCATCCATCCATCCATCTATCCATCCATTCGTCTGTCTATCCAGCCAAACAAACAAACATTTGTGTGTTTTTGCTGCTTGTTGTTGGCCGTTTGAGTACAACACATGACAGTTGAGTTTGATACCATTCATATAGCACACATTCAAAACACAAACATTTCAATACGTCAGCCTGAGCCGACGTCAACGTCAGCAGCACAATATAATAACACAGGCAGCACAGCATTGTACAATTTCTGTGATTAAGTGACGACATTCGCTGTTTGACTCTCAAACGGTTAACGACGGTTACTTTAATATAACGGCAAAATAAAACACACAAAAAAAAATATTTAAAATTCCTGTAATTTAACGGCAATTTATATTTAAAAAAAAGAAACAAATATTCTTTTTTTTTTTGAGAGCATTAAACAAAACAAAAAAGTGTTGATGTGATAAATTTATTAAAATATATTTTTAATTTATTAAAGTTTAATAATAAAAAACACACAAAATGGATTCATATCTAGTCAAATGTTTAAACAATAAATAAATTTGGCAGCCAAATCCACATAAACAACAACAACTACTATTACTACAAAAAATCTAAGAAAAATGGAAAAATTTACTTAAAAAAAAAACAAAAATCAAGACTGATGATAACTTAATAAAAAAGAAAAACTATTAAATTTAAAAAAATAACCTCAAAATCACAACAAAAACTCCACAAAAATTTTGTTAACCAAGTATACGTAAAACAACTACAAATAAAACTTATTTAAATTTAACAAAATATTTATTAAATTTAAAAAAACAAAACATAAAAGTGCAAAACTACATAAACAAACAAAAAACCTTAAAAAAAATTGCTCATCTTTTTTAATAATTAAAAAAAAATTATTAAAAATTAAAAAAAAAAACAAATCTCCACTACCTTTAAATTTATAATACATAAATAACCTAATGTATACGATTCACTGCAATTATTAATAAAATTAACAACCAACAAACCAACTTTAAATTTATAAAATTTTCCTTAAATAAAACAAAAAAAAAAAAAAATATATTTAAATATTTTCTAAACTAAAAAATACAACAAATTATACGACTAAAATTAAAATTACAACAAAAATTATACGCGTACATAGTGCAAAATAATATATTATAAACAAAATATTAAACAATAATTTATTATTAAATTAAAAATTAAAAAAAAAGAAAATCTTGTCTAACTAAACTAAAACAAGTTTTTTCTGCTAAAACCCATATTTGTTTAAAGAAAAAAAATCTCTTAAAATTAATAAAAAATTAATAATTTTTAATCTTAAAAAAATAAAGTGTTAAGTGTTACAACAACAATTAAATCCTAAAAATTATAAAAACATAAACAAAATGTTGCACGAAGCTTTAATGTTAGAAATCTATCGTCAGGCCTTAAATGCTGGGTAAGTTAAATTTGTATAAACCTAGAGTTAAACGCAGTTTAAGTTTTACTTTAGTTTAAGTTAAGTATTTCTTAAAAACAGTTGTAACAAATTTAAAAACTATGATACCAGGCTACTAGTGATATGCCTTAATCAAACCCAGAGTTACCTGTTTACTTTCAGTTTGAAATTTTGTAAAGTGATTAAATTTCAAATGAGTCAAGGCTATCAAGAAGTTAAATCCATTTGAAAGCGAACTCAAACCTTAAAGAGATCTTCTAACACTTTAACATCCAATCTTCTCCAAATTCTTAAAGTTTGGAAACTCTTAATGTGAAAATTGGAACCTTTAGGAGTCCAATGGGGAAGACATTTTAAAATGATAACCCCACCTTTCCATTATCTGTCTAACAGTGGCTAGAACAGTAACTAGAGTTAAATCACGTCCTGGAATAAGGAAAATAAAATTAAGTCAAAACTGGGCTTTGAAGTTGCCAAACATCGTTCAATCTCAAAATAAGGCAACACTACTCAAATTTCTGCAAACAAACCCCCACCACACCATCCACTACCTAAACGTTGCTGGAGCAGTAACCAGAGTTCTAGCATTTCCCCGCAATAAAAAAGTTTTAATGCAGAAAAACTAAAGTCAAAATTCTTACCCAAGGAAGTAAACTTTCATAGTAAATCCAAACTACTTCATTCTCTGTCCCACGGTGGCTAGTTTAGTAATCAGTATCAAGTATAGCAAAGTCATTACTCAAAAGTATCTATAGATTACAAAAGAGAATCAATTGTATATAATTTACAGAATCTGATCTGATTAAAAGAAAATCAATATCTATAATATCGTCTTATAAAGGTCCATCATACTGATTCCTTTGCGATAACAGTAAAGAGAAGGGGTTTAATCACTTCTAGAGTTAAAGCACAAAAGTAAACATAAATCAAAAATGTGTACTTGAAGTTCTAAGAATTCGTTTAAACTCAAAATACAACTACACTACTCCATTCTCTGTCCCACAGTGGCTTGTTTAGTAATCAGTATCAAGTATAGCAAAGTCTTTACTCAAAAATATCTATAGAATATAGAAAAGAAGCAATTCTGGGGTTTAAAAAGAAAATCCATGCACATATATGTATAATATCGTCTTGAGTTAGTTGAGCAGGTTGTTCAAGTGTCTACATCACTGGACTAACACTCTCAGCGCCATCATATTGATTCCTTTGTGAATATGAGTAAAGAGAATAGGTCAGCGTATTTAGTACACTTTGAGCTAAATACTGTGGATCCCATACAAACCAGTTTGTATCATGAATAAAGGAGTTTATCTTTTCCATGTAAATCTCTAAGAAATCCGTTAAGTCGTGCAGAAAATGGTTATCTAGCTGCTGCTAAACCTATGTTCCGCTAGGGCCGTACAGTGGTTCCTCTTGTGACTTCCATTAAGACAGATCAACGTCTGCAGAAATCGATTCATGAACGATTCCATCTTCTGATATATAGCCATAAAGGCCAGTGACCATTAGGAATATTAAACTAGGCTTGTGATAGAAGTGGGTTATATATTGGTCACATGATCTTCGACATTCTGCAGGTAACTTAGGTCAACCAGTATTAACATTACCCATAATGTCGGCTAAGATTATAAATTAGCTGGGAAACAGTAGCAGCCTTGAGAATTTACACCTATTTTAGAACGAATTTTTACTAGACAATGATAAAACTCTTAAAACCGTATCAAGGGGTTTCACAGGTCCCCATATATCACATCCGAATTGTTTGTTATTGTTAGCAGATATTTGTAAAAAATCGATAAGATATGAGTTAAGAAGCAAATCAGAAAAGTGATATCCGGAAAATTCCGGAAATCGGACCAAGTAGTATTCAATTATGTGCAAGAAAAGCCATTAAGAATTAATTAATCTTGCAAATAAATGATCCGAAAAGATATAGTTACGATTACTGGCATTCACTTCTTGGGTCTTGTTATAAAGTGCAGAAAAAAGGTAATCGGTAAGGAAAAGCATTATAAATTGATTAAGAAGTTCAGAAATCAAAATAACGAGTCTGTTTCCTAATTGATATTCAGATTAGAATAATATTTTGGTCATTTAGATAAAACCTAGAAAAACAGATCTTGAGGTATGATCGGATGAAACCTATAAGACATAAGAAGTAATATGTAATCGGCCTTACGATAATTGTAAATGAAGCGATAAGAAGTTTAAAATAAAAAGGTTCGGGGGTCTTAAAACCAAGAAGCAGACGATTTCAATTCAATCCATAAAGCTAAGAAACTTGAAGTAACGAAACATACTACAACAAAGAAGTTAGTACCTAGTTCTATGGACCCTAAAGTGACAAAACCTATTTTAACAAAGTTTGCAGTTATTATTAGTTCCATGGAATCTAAAGTGACAAAACGCACTTTAAGAAAGTTTGAAGCGAGTAAAGTCCAAAAATTTAACTAGATAAAGTTCTAGAAGAAATTTCAAAGAAGAGGTGGGACAAGATGACAGGAACAATGAAATGGAGGAGAAAGAATTTATTTGTCCCATGGAACTCAAGACTAAAGTTTAAAGCAAAGTTTACAGTTTTTAAGGGAATTAAGATACTAAAACATAATACAATATACACATTTTCGATGGTTGGATCAAACGCTGATTGGGTCCAACTTAATCACAACTAGATAAAGTTCTAAAAGATAATTGAAGGAAGAAGTGAAGAAGGCAGAATGAAGATAATGTGATACAAATAACAGTTTAAAGTAGCACCGGGTCTAGATACTTAAAAGAAGTATTTCATTTATAAAGAGAAAATAGATTCACTCTCTTATCTGGCTTACCCTGTTTCTGCTGATGCATCTGAAAAACTTTTCCAAAACTTTTGAAAAATTTGACTGGATATTTATACGGAAATTGCAACTGTAAACATTCTCTCGGTGGAATGGAAATCATAGGCTAAGTTGAAGTACAAGTTTATCTCGGGTTTTACTGAACTTGTCAAGCGATTAATACTCTATAATCATTCTCTAAAGTTTAAGGGAGATAAAAATTTGCTTCAGGGAAACATATAAGTTCCCAAACCCATGATTCCGTATAAATAATTGAAGGTTATGACAAAAAGTGACACATGTTGATTGATTCATATATTTTACTAAATTTGTGTTGAAATGAATCAAAGAAATTTGGGACAAGTAAGGAATCATTTGACCTATAACTGATTTTGCTTATAAAATTTGGACTTTGAGACTTTTTATGCTTGAAAATAGTTGCTAAGTTATTAGCTTAAGTTTAAGTATAATAGATTAATTATTTAACAGGCGTAAAATTATGTTAAAACGTTGGCAATGTATTAAAAATTTATCACTTATGAAAAGTTAAAAAAGATTACAACAGTTAACAGTAGTGTTAAAGCTTTTAAAACCGATAAGTTCTAATTGTAGAATTAGTTTGTAAAGCAAAACAAAGAAGATAGATTAAAACTATAAATCTGTTGCAGTAAAATGATATATCACCTAAATCTAAGGCGATAATAAGCCTGCAAACCACCAGATTAAAGTAGCAGCACGCTATCATTGGCTGTTAGTTGGGGCCCTAAAGCTGAAAGGTTTAACTAATACAATTCCACTGCCAACTACCATGGGGCCTATTGGTTAGTCCAGTTACTATAAAATCCTTTCTAATATCTTAAAATTTGTTTTTGAATACTTTTTTCCCCCAAAAAATAACATTTTGTTTATTTTCATGTTTAACACACATAAGTGTCATTATAATTTGTAATTTTGTATGTTTTTTGTTTTTGTTTTATAAATATTTATTAAGTGAATTTAATTATATTCTATTATATGCATTGTTTTAAACATATTCACACGCTAAGACAAATTCTTGAAAAATTTATTAATTGCACTTCTTCACACCGCCAAACGAGGCGAATGAAAGAAAATACTTAAAGTAAAACAAGGAAAAACAATAATTTATGCAATTTAATTAGTAAATGGTGGAAAATATGATATAAATATATTGTTAACAAATTAAATAGTAATATATATTAAATTTATATCTACAAAAGTAATAAAATTGTTTAAAACAAAGCAAAAAGTTGTAGGAAAAATAAGTAGAAAAGAGGGAAAGGAAATTAAGCAAGAACTAGTGCAGTAACTGGTTCTAAAGGGTTACTTACCGGCTGTAATTGTAATGGTTAGCTTTTAAACAGGTCATTGAACTGGTTTTTTTACTAATGAGCTTTAAAGCTCTTGGCAATATAATCTATTAATAGTTATCTTTCTTAATCTGGTACCTAGTACTTTTCTTTCAAACACCCCAAACTTTCCTCTACATACTATTAGTCTTATCTTACAATTTAGGACATTTTTTTTTTTTTGTTTTCTTTAATATTTTTTTTTATTATAAAGCTTTAATTAATAAACATATTTAAAAATGTTCATTATTTATTATAATTATTTCAATTTAACTATACATCATTTAGATAGGAAGCTTTTGAGTCCCTCTCATAAACAAATCATTATATTTCTACTAAATAAATGACAGTTTTATTATGGTCATATAGATCATCATCATCTTTGCCATTGCCATACAGACAGACAAACAAACAGACATCGTCATCATATAAAAACTGTCATATATATATATTTTTTGATCTATAACCACCACCACCACCATCATCAGCGTCATCATTATAAATATTCTTTATATTTTATTTTTTCATACCATCAAAAGAAATAACAACATTAAAATAATAATAATAATGAAATTGTACGCCATATTGTCAGTTGAAAATAATTTGAAATAATTATAGGGTGGGTTTTGAAAAATGTATTTTGTTGTTGGTTTGTTTTTTCTCAAATCGTTTACTCATATCTGTGTAGTTTTTTCTTATTTGGGAGTCAGTTTATTTATAGAGAATTTATTTTTTATTTAGAAATCGATTAATCGTTATTTTATTATAAATTATAATACAAATCGGGATTTGAAAGATAATAACGAGAGCAAATGATTCATAAGGATCAACAAAAAAAGCTAAATACTCATTAGTTGCTATTTGATTAGAGTTCTATATACTCCAGAGTTTTGAAACCCCTGATTTCTAACGATCTTAATCAGATTATTAAAGGCTTTCCCTGGGCTTTATTTGTATAGATAATGTTCCGAATTTAGTTTCACAAAAGTTCAATAGTTTACATTCCAGCTAAAATGACTTAATTCGCCCAACCATATCAACCACGCCCACTTATTTCCACGCCCACATTTGCTTGCAACTCTTTTGGTTACTATAGGGCTCATAACAGTTGTTTTGTTCTGATTTTAATATATAATCATTAGTTGATATTATATTAGAGTTGTATATAGCCCAGAGTTTCGAAACCCCTGATTTCTAAAGATCATAATCAGATCATCAAGGGTTTACCCTGGGCGTTATTTGTATTAATAAAGTTCCGGATTCAGTTTCACAAAAGTACAATGGTTTATATTCCAGCTAAAATGATTTAATTCGCCTTCTCAATCCGCCACGCCTCTTTATTTTCTCGCCCACATTTGCTTGCAACTCTTTTCATTACTATAGGGCTCATAACAGTAGTTTTGTTCTCATTATTTTGTATTATATTTTAATATATAATCATTAGTTGATATTATATAAGAGATCTATATACCCCAAAGTTTCGAAACCCTTGATTTCTAACGATCTTAATCAGATCATTAAAGGTTCTTCCTATATCCGAATTTAGTTTCACAAAAGTACAATGGTTTACATTCCAGATCAAATGACTTAATTCGCCCTCCCATATCAACCACGCCCACTTATTTCCACACCCATAACCTAATAACACATGCTCGCAACTCTTTTCATTACTATAGGGTTCATAACAGTCGTTTTAGTCCAAATTTAGTTTCACAAAAGTACAATGGTATGCACTGTAGTTCAAATGACTTAATTCGCTCACACATATCAGCCACGCCCACTTATTTCCACGCCCATCACCTAAGGCATTTGTTTAAAACTCTGTTGCATTACTATAGACCTCATAATAGTCGTTTTAGTCCAAATTTAGTTTCACAAAAGTACAATGTTTTACATTCCAGCTAAAATTATATAATTCGCCCACCCATATCAACCACGCCCACTTATTTCCACACCCATAACCTAAGACATTTGCTTAAAACTCTGTTGCATTACTATAGAGCTCCTAATAGTCGTTTTTGTCCAACTATTTTGAATATGTTTTCTTTATAAGTAAACGCTTTTTTTTGCACTTTATAATTTATGATTTAGTTGTTTAATTTATTAACCATTAAATCAATAAATATCTATCTATAGGAGTTTTGGAATTTTATTTTTTCGCTCTAATATGTACATTTGATATGTTTTCTGTATAAAAATCTTATATTTTTTTTCGTCTGACCTTATAACCAATAAATTTATTAATAGCATATTATTTAGTTGTTGTATTTAGTTTTTAAATATTAAATACTAACGAGTAGTAATAACGAGACATATGATATTTAGCAACAACAAAATTTCCAAAATGATTTATTAATAAGAAAACGTTAAAGACAGCAAAACAAGAAAAAAGACAAAATTGAAAAATATGAAAAAACAACAGAAAATTGCAACTTTAAAATAGAGTTTCTATAAAAGCTTTTTCCAAGAGTTAGAGAGGAAAAGGGGGCGTGGTCTTTTTGGTCATATGAGCCAAAATATTTTGTATAAAAGTATAGAAAAATGGCTGCTTATTGGTCCCTAAACAGCTTAACATAAATATATTTACTAAAAGCTTTTAAAGCTTTACTTTATATTAAAGCTTTGTTGCCTTAAAAAGCTTTACTAGCATATAATTCTTATTGATTTTGCAACTTTATTATTACAGCTTTTTCATGTTTGAATCTAATATGAAGTTTGATTCCTTAGAAAGCTTTCCTTGTTATTTACATAGAAAGTATAAATACAGGAAATTTTTACTTTTACTAAAATATAGCTTAAGAAAGAGAAAAGCTTTAGGTTAAAGTTTCAAAGATAACGTTTCAAAATGTTTTAATTAAAGGATTGTTTATTGGTACTTATATAACTCCTAATCAATATGTGTAGAATTAGCTTTTAAAGCTTTTCATCAGCTTTGATTTCTTGAAAAGCTTTACTTGTTATTTGTATTGCTTTTACACTTTGAATTGTTATAGTTTGATTTCATAGAAAAGGGTTTGCTAGTTCTTGCCCTTAAAAGCTTTCTTTTGTTCTTAATATGGTCATTTCAGCAGTTAGATTACCAAAATTCGAAATATTTTAAATTTTCAATTCTAATGATTTGATTCCTCTGAAAGCTTTTAAAGGCATTTTTATTATTATTATAAGTTTGTCTTTGCCAAGCTTTGGTGTTGTCATGAAAAAGCTTTGTAGCTTTTGAAGATTTGTTACCTTTGAAAGCTTTTGAAGTTATTCCCATTAATTTTGCAGCTTTAATACTAACAAGTTACAAATTATTTGGAAATTGCTGCTTCTAGTGTTGTCATGAGAGAGCTTTTTAACTTTTAAAGATTTGAATTTGGATGATTTAATTCCTTTGAAAGCTTTTGAAGTTATGCTCGTAAGTTTTGCAGCTTTAATACTAATAAGATTCAAATTATTTGGAAGTTGCTTCTTCTAGATTGACATTCAAATGATTTGATGTCTCTGAAAGCTTGTAAAGTTCTTTCCATTGTTATTTTAAGTTTAAATTTTCTATTAAAAAGCTTTTAAAGATCTTTTCATTTAGTTTTGCAGCCTTAAATTTAAAAACTATCCACTTCGTTAGCTTTAAATTGCTTTTAAAGCTTTTAGTCCTTAAGAAAACTTGTTAAGATCTTTTCATTGCTTTCTTAGGCTTCGCTTTGCCGTACTTTAACGTTGCCAAAATAAAGCTTTTTACTAACTTTCTTATCAGATTGGAAGCTTTAATATTAACAAGATTCCCTCTATTGTAAATACTCTGCTTTTTAAGTTTTTATTCCTTCAGAAACTTGTAAAGATCTATTTACTGCTTTAAGCTTTCCCTTTAACAAGCTTTAGTGTTGCCATATAAAAAGCTTTCAAGCTTAACATTAACAGGATTCAAAAAATTTTCATTTTCCTTTTTAGATTCTTATGTTTAGATGTTTTAAACGGTTATACAAGATCTATCCTTTCAAGCTTTAGTATAGCCAAACCAAAGCTCCTATTTAAAGCTTTAATTACTTCATATAGAGTACTAATTATAATAGAATACTATTTATTACAATTAATTTTCTATATTTATTTTTCAAATATATAGATAAATACTTATTTATTATCTATATTCAACAATATATTTTATTAAATATTTATGGATGCGTATTGATAATAAAATATTTATGAAAAAAACAGATTTCATTTAATTTACACATTCCAATTTAGAATTTTTAGAATTTATTATACTTGTTTGAACTTGATTTCATTTAAAAAAAATTATCTCTCTTATACAGTAGAGTAGCTTTCATTAACACATGTTTTTGTAATGTAATTTTTTTTATAAAATTTTTTTAATTGAATTCATATAAAATGTTATTATTATGAAATCTGGAGTTTACAAATGTCTGATATAATTAAGTGATAAATAGTGATATATTTACGATATTATTAAAATTGTGAGGTTTTTGTAGCAATTATAACCAACTTTTACAACTTGTTTTAAATTTTATCTAAAAGCTTTTAATATAGTTCAATAACTTTACGAATATTTCACCTCTATTGAGAATACCTCATGCCTCATTCTCAATTTTGTTCTAAGAACTCCTAAGTTTTCACCTCTAGTGTGAACACAGCATTCCATAAGTATTCCTCAATAAACCTTCTCAAACAAATGAAGAAAAAAGCTTTCAAATTTTCAAGCTTTAAATTTTTTAAACTTGTTCTAAGAATTCTAAGTTTTCACCTCTAGTGTGAACACAACATTCCACAAATATTCCTCAACAAACCTTCTCAAACAAATGAAGAAAAAAGCTTTTTATAAAAAGCTTTAAAATTTTCAAGGTATTTAAAAAATTGACGAAAGCAAAACGTTTTAATATAAAACTATTTTATGGTATAAACAAAAGAAAAGCATATTTAAACAAATTTAAATAAATTGTACTAAAAATTATTTATTGTCATTGTTTCGTTTTGTTCGCCTTAAACAATAATTTGTTCAGTTCAAAAACGAAAATATTTGTTTGTTTGCTTTTGTGTGCCATATTTATTGATTGTTAACTTGATCTTTTATAAATTTATTTCTATTGTTTAATAATTTTTAATTACCTACTCACACAAACACAGTGGGTCCGCACAAAGAAAAAAAGCTCTCATTAAACTAATAAAACAAAATCATATTGAAAGTTTACAAGTTTTCAAGAGACCTTAGAAAACTTAAAATTTTTGTTTTCTTTTAATACTTTTAGAAGCACTGTGGGTCTTGTCAGCCACACGTTTTTTTCTAAAATTTTTTATAAAAATTTAAAAAAAAAAAAAAACTAAAACACATAAAAAAAGAAGATTAATAAAATTTTGTTTTGTTGTTGTTTTATACTTTATAAAATTATATAGTTATTGTTGTTATTGTAGTGTTTTTTATTTAACATTTCGTTTCGCTTGATTTGCATAACAAATAAAAACGTTGACATATTGTGAGCTATTTTTAAGATTAGTTGAAATCATTTAGTGATGATAGAAAACATTTTTCAAAACTTAATGGGCTCAATTTTTTATTATAAATTTATTTTTTTTTTTTAATTTTTTAGTTTAGTTTTTTTTTAATGAACCATTTTTAAGAGTAGGAGTGAAATATTTAGCTTTTAAGATTTATTATATTATTTTGTTTTACGATTTAAATCTTATAAATAAATATTTAATCATTGTTTATTTTCTTCTTCTTTTTAGGGCTTTACCCACAGCAAGGCCTCGTTCTACAGAATCGGCCAATTCCAGTGAGCGCTGTCCTTCACACGAATCGAATTCATCGGAAAATGGCAAAGAACATCGTGAGAATTCCATAAATCATCCACCAGCAGGTATTTTACCCCTGCCCAACTCACCCAGTGCAGCTTTTCCCAGCATTCCAAATTTGCCCGGTCAACCACCCTCCATGGAGGCTTATCTGCATATGGTGGCTGCAGCTGCCCAACAATATGGTTTTCCTTTGGGTGCTGCCGCAGCGGCAGCCGCCGCTGGACCTCGTTTACCCTTACCTCTACCCACAGAAGCGGCCGCCTCTTTTAAACTACCACCTCAAGCTTCACCCACCGCTTCTAGTAATCATTCGGAAGCTTTAGATTTTCGTACTAATATGTTTGCCCGTTCGGGTTCTGCTGAACCTGCTGGCTCTGAGGAGGAGGAGGAAGAAGAAGAGGCCAATGATGCCAATAATCCTTTGGATTTATCAGTGGGCACCCGCAAACGTTCAGCAGATGATGAATCGGAGCCTGATTCCAGCATCGGTCAAATACAGGTTAAGAAAATCTTCAAATCCGACAGTCCTCCTTTGGTGGCTCAACCACCAGCCGCTACACAAGTTCCTCCTAATCCTTTAATGCCAGGAGTTAATCCTTATTTGGCCGCAGTAGCTGCCGCCAATATCTTTAGATCTGGGCAATTTCCCGATTGGAATGGTAAAAGTGATTTAGTGGTAGATCCTTTAGAGAAAATGTCCGATATAGTAAAAGGACCGCGCAAAGAGAAATCTAGCCGCAATGCCATGAATCAACAACACAATAACCCAACAGCAGCAACACAACCCATAAATCCCCAACCACCAGCTCCAGTGGCCAATAATCCTCTGCCTGCCTCGAATGAGGGCATCACCAAGACACGCCACAACATATGGCAATCTCATTGGCAGAATAAGGGTGTAGCCAGTTCAGTATTCCGCTGTGTGTGGTGTAAACAAAGTTTTGCTACCCTAGAAGCTTTGACTACCCACATGAAAGACAGCAAACATTGTGGTGTAAATGTACCGCCATTCGGCAATTTGCCCACAGCTAATGAAAGACCTCAGGTACAGCAAAATCCAGCTCCGGCAGGTCCTCAACATCATCGACAACAATCGAATAAATCCAATAATTCGGGACCTTCTCAGGCAGCCAAAAATGCATTCCAATATCGTGGTGATCCACCCACACCTTTGCCACGTAAACTGGTAAGAGGACAAAATGTTTGGCTGGGCAAGGGTGTCGAACAGGCCATGCAAATTTTGAAATGTATGCGCTGTGGTGAAAGCTTCCGTTCGTTAAATGAAATGACCAAACACATGCAGGAGACTCAGCATTATACCAATATACTCTCACAAGAGCAAACGATCTCAATGAAATCATCCTCCAATACAGGAGAAAATAAAGAGGGACAAAACAGTTTAAGCTCGGAGGAAAGCCGCACTCTCAGTGCTGTGCTCACCTGTAAGGTGTGTGATAAAGCTTTTAATTCTCTGGGTGATTTGAGTAATCATATGGCCAAAAACAATCATTATGCTGAACCTTTAATGCAATCTATGGGTACAGCGGGTAATCGCAAAAGACCAGCTCCCAAAAAGCGTGAGAAATCGTTGCCCGTTAGAAAGCTTTTAGAAATGAAAGGTGCCCAGGATCAAGTGGACTCTGAAATGGAATTAAAAATGCAGCAACGTCCCGGCATGGGACCTGGTTCGGATAAAACCGAAGCGGCTCTCTTTGCCGAACGTATGCGTCAATATATATCGGGCATTAAGTCCGATGAAGCTGCCAAAAACAATATGAATGCCTTGGCTCAACTCAGCAAAACAAAATCGCCCGAATTAATGGAATCTCCCAAAAATGGTGCCACCAAAACAGCTCAGGGTTCTTCCTCAGTCTTAAGTGCCATAGAACAAATGTTTACCACTAGTTTCGATACACCCACTAGACATGCTGCCCTGCCAGCGACCAGTCCTTCCAATTCGTCCACCAAAAATACCTCGCCTGTGGCTTCTAGCATACTCAAACGTTTGGGTATCGATGAAAATGTAGACTACAATAAGCCATTGATCGACACCAATGATCCCTATTACCAGCATTATCGCTACACCAGCAGTGAGCGTAGTGCCAGTGAATGTAGTGCTGAGACCCACAATGATTCTAGGAAAATGGAAAATCCTACTCCGGATAAACCAGAAATGGAGGAAAATCCCCATAAAATGGATTATGATGTAGAGATTAAGAAAGAACCAGAAATGGAAAAGACTCATTCACCCATAATGCAGCAGCAGCAGCAACAACAACAACGTGAAGAGCAAATGACTAATATTAAAATGGAAATTAAAGCTGAATTAGAGGATGAGCAAGAGCAAAATGAAGGCAATAGCCCTAGAGCAGGCAGTGGAGAACGTGATGTAACCACTAATGGCAATGACTATGCCAACAATAACAACAACAACACCAAAGAATGCAATGTTCAATCACCCAAGGCACACAGTCCACAACCACGTGTAATGCCGCCACGCAGCCCCACCGATAGTCATCGTTCCATGACACCCAAATCACCAGCTTCCAGCATTAAATCCTACGATGGTGGCGAAAAGAAATATCCCAGTGATTCACTCAATGCCCTCTCCTCCATGTTCGATTCGTTGGGCAGCACTACCAACTCCTCCACCATCAGTAATCGTCCTCAGCCCCAAAATACCGCTGTGCTCAGTAATAAAATCGATTCTCCCGAAAATCTCACCACATCCAATTCGTTAGCCGCTTTACGTCAATTCTGCATTAAGAAAGAGAAAACCGCTTAAAAACGCTCTCGTCTTATTTCGTTTTTTATTTCATTTCTATTATGGAAACAGTGAGAAAACATATTTTTTGTTTTTGCTATATAATTTCGTTGGTATTCGTCTCGCGTCTCACTAGCCGGAGATTGAGCCGCGAAATTATGATTTCTGTTTTATTACAAACAAAATAAACGCTCTTTAGCAGCCAGCAAGACAAGCGTGTGTCTTAAAATAATTTATGATTTTTAACTAAAAAAAAAACAATTTTAAACTCAACTTAAAATAAAAATAAATTCTCGCCGCCATTCACCAAAAATTTAATAATAATAATAAAATTTCGAAACACCAACTACATAAAGCTCGCTTGCTTTATAATAAAGAGTGTTAAACAACTTCCGAGAGAGTAAAAACCGGAAAGTTCTGAAAGCGAAAGAACTTTGCTGCAACGCCACCGAAGCAAAGTTAACGACTACGGAAAGAGAAACTCGTAAAAGTGCCAAATAATGCATACGAGTAAGCATAAGAGAGCTAGTTAAAGGAGAGAGCTTTTCAAAAGGAGGTATTAGGAAAAAGCGTACTTTACAAAAAACAATTAAGAAAAGAGACTGGATATTGAAAACCGTCTTTATGGTTTGACAAAGGCTTTCGTTAAGCATGACAACTGAAAAGAAAGAATCAAATAAAGCTATTTCAATATAGTTAGAAACCCACAACAAGACTTAAAACCACTTAAGCTTTAAGCTTCAAAGACACAAGGTAATTATCATTTAGATTTCTTTAATTTTTTTTCGCGAATATGTTTGTTTTCCTTTTTAAACTGTTTACTAATTTTAGTTTTCTCCCTCTCTCTCTTTCTCTTTTTAGCATTTTATGAAAAACTACCGTTTGCTGAATAACTCAACTTGTGCCTTTGTTTGCTGTTATATACCTTTAAATTTATAAGAATTTGGATGCCTAAATTAATCAGTTATACGATCATACAAAATGAAAATAATCTTGCCACAATCTAATTGGATGTTCTAATGAAAAAAAAAAAAATTAAATCTACAATTTTATGGATCTAAAAAAAACAATTAAAAACAAAAAAATTAAAAAAAAAAGAAAAAAAAAACTAAAAAAATACAGCCCTTTTCAGGGCTACCAAATGTTTCAGATAAAGAGATATTAAATATTTGTGTAACTCACTACTACTAGGGTGCTAACACATTGGTGAGATGCCAACCTCATCAACATCACGGTCATGCTGGACTCACAGCTTACGCTCTCTATTGGTTGTTTGCCCTTTGAAGCGATTGCGTGGTCCATTATCATATTGTTCACCAGAACTTCTACCTTACTCTACTGGTCTATTGGAATTTTGCCTGTCGGATTACCGGCAGCGTAAACTGCATAGCAGAGATCGTCCCGGTGTCTTGTTCTTGCAACTTTGGCGTAAGATGGCGGCTCTTTTCCTTTTCTACCGTCTAGCTTCTCCTTCCTCGTTTTTTGGGGCTTCTTTTGAGATACCCTTACCTTCGAGGTTGGTTTCGCCGACGTGTTCGTCTTCGAAATATCTGGCTTGGCGTTGTCAACCTTACTCGCAGGATTCTGACTTGAGTGAAGTATGGCTTGGCTTCGGCTGTGTATGAAAAGACGGGGAGCTCTTTTTCTTCCTAGGCTTATTCTCAGTTGTCAATTCTTCGACCTGATCCTCTTGCCTCAGATATTGTGAGAGAGTACGATTTTTCCTTAGGAGTGCCATGGGATTGACTAAACTATGATATCCTGCAGCATTTTTTTCAATTTCCTCCTCTGTGCTCCAGATAGTATTTTCTTAGTAATAGGTAGTTTAGCTATGCTATCACTCACCTCTTTCACCATTTGCTCTACTTCATCCTTCTTGGGATTTGCTTTAATGGTGTTCTTATTATCATCTGAGGATTCAGAGTCGGAACCCTCACCTATGTTTAAAGGCTGAGGTAGCTTAGAGCTCTCTCCGAGTACATCCTTCTCTTTCACCCCTATATTTTTGCCAATGGCATGCTGTACACTTGACGCATTGTCCGCCACGGAGGCCAAGGTACCCACCTCCGTAGTAGTATTTTGCTCACGATTGCAGGATGACGACGACACGTGACTCGCGAGTGGATAAACACTTGCCGCCGGTACTGGGTTATTTAGGACCTGCACCGTAACTTTTATCTTTTTATTTTCCATGTTTTTTTCCAGCTTTGGTCCCAGGTGCAAGTAGAAGAACAAGTAGGAGAACTGCTCTATTTCTTTTCTTGATCTTCCAAGTAAAACCTATCTATCTCTTCTTTCGAGAATCCTTTTTATGCAAAGAAAAGAAACCTTTTTGGTGCTAGAGGCAATGAGGTAATTCATAAACAATACGTTTAACCAAGACCATGTACCAATCTCTAACTAGATAGATAATGTTGTTGTTTTTGCAACAGATTGGCTGTGATTGGACGTTTTTCCCTGGGGAATAAAACTTCGACCAAAGATTGTCAAACCAGCTGTTGCTGAGTTTGAGATTGAAAATCGGGTCGTTCCGGGTCGGAAATCCATTTGCCGTTGAAACGAGTGGCCAGATGTCGGTAATTAATTATTTCGAATTATATTGAACTTACTAGAGAATCGTTTTATAGAAGGAATTCATGGTTCTCGCAAAGTTCTCGTACTATATATCTCATCTGGTCAATACTTCCAACCCTATCTAACTACTCCATTTCAGATTCCTTTTTATTCACTTAATGGAAACCTGAGCGATTCGCTCAACCATGACGTTGTCCCAAACAAAACCAAAACCCAACTTCCCTTATTTCAGAAGAACACATTCCAAGTGTCACAATGTCTATGAAAAAATATAGTGAAAGCAGTATTAGAAATACACCAGAATTTAAAAATTCTGCGCCCGGCCAGAGCCCATCTATAAAGCACACATTCTTAAGTGAATCCTAAATATAATCAGATTCCTTTTTATTCACTTAACGGAAAATCCCTTTGACTCAAGCTATGAGAAAACCTGAGCAATTCGCTTAACAATGACGTTGTACCAATTTCTGAACGTAATTGCCTTATTTCAAAAGAACACATTCCAAGTGTCACAATGTCCATGAGAAAAGTGGCATAAAGTCCATAGATTTCAAATTTATCGTGGAAAGTCTTAATATAGCGAAACCAGTATTAGAACTACACCAGAATTTAAAAACTCTGCGCCCGGCCAAAGCGCATCTATCAAGCACACTTTGTTAAGAGAATCCTAAATATAACATACCCCAAAGCTAGGAGCAATTCTATTCAGCATCGATTTCTTAAACCTTAAACAACTTTTCCAATACCTGTATGTTTTAAAAAAGTCATAAAGTCCATGGTCATCATGCCACTTTTGAAAATGGACGTTATGTCCATGGACACTAAGACCTTTTCTGGTTTCATGACTTGCCACCCATAAATACAGTTGGATATCCAACTATATCCAATAAGCAAGAAGAAGGCGAAAATATCTATAAGAAATAGTAGGATATCCCACACTCATTTCATATTTTACCGCGCGATTCGTAGTTTTTTTTCACAATTTTCCAAAAATATCACATTCGAATTTGTTCGTATAAAAATAAGGGAATTTATGGCCGATTCTCACAGATTTATATGAAATAATCCTGTTTCATCAAGAATACATGCATTTGAGGTCTACAAATCAGTGGATTGCATAATGTAAGGCAGGGAAAATGTTCTCAAACAAAGTTCTAACCTTCGTGCAACCGCTTTATTCATCATGGACACACTAATTTGAGGTCAATTGATCAGCGCAATGTCTAGAAACACCGCTTTCTTCCACAACCTATTTCTCTAATTCAAAAACCACATTGCACCGTATGAGTTCTAGTTTCCTTCTACAAACACTTTTCCCTTCCACAAGCTATTTATCTAGCCCAAATACATTGCCCAGAAGGAGTTCTAGTCTCCAAAGACCTAATATCTTGGTGATCCACATAATGAATCAAAGGTTTGAAATTGAATCCTATTATGTTCACGTTACTCATTTCTCAGAAGCGATCGAACATATTTTTCTAAGGCATCGTTCATCAATCGCCAATATCGATTAATCGGATAGAAATATCCTTCAAAATTTACTATATTCATTGTGTTAAGAGTGATCATCACAAAATCATATTTTGAAAATATCGTTTTGTTGACTTCATTTCTACACAGATACGACATTAAAAGTCTTATTTTTTCAACACCAGATCTCCTTCAGTAACCACTAAAACTTTCCTTTGATATACTTCTTAGATCTTACTAGGATCTAAGGAATTGGAAGAATGAAATCTGTCTATATCCAGATTCTACATCTTTGTAATAAGAATTCATAACATCAAGGGTCTATGGGGTAATCATCCCAGATCTTTGAAGATCCTCAGCTCATTTCAATTTAAAAGGAATAAACAATACTTTCTGCTTCCCTTGGACACAGCTATCAGAAAAGCTCTCAAAGGAAATAAAGCAACGTTTTTGTCCGCCGACTCATGAAAAAGCTCAATATATCACCGTTGAGTTAAGGCAATGTTGTTTTCAGTTCAGCGATTGGCCGTTATCTTTTGGTATATTTATATAAGAATCGATCCACAGACAAATGACTGAAGTAATGACTATTGACCGACATTGAATCTTCTAGGTTTTTATTGGGCTCTTGTTTTGCTTCAGACCTTTAGACAAGTGTCTTATTCCCACTACTGAATCCTCTTCTAAAATTGGCAAAAAAGGCTTGCTGTACATTCTATATTGCTGAGGTTATGATTATCATTCTAAAGTACAGATCTGCTGTATTGATCGTGCTTCAAGCTCATATCGATCTTGTAAGGGACCTAATAGAATCGTCGTCGGTCGGGTAGTATAAAACTCCTTGATTGTTTTAAAAAATCCTTCTCTAGTTATGAAAGTCCACTATGATCTAGCTAAAATACTTTTTAAGATCTCATTAAACAAAAATTGTACCTTCTTGATTCAAAATTCCTTTGAACTCTTCTAAACACATACACACTCGTCCATACATCATGTCCAACCAATTAAAATTGATGTTTTGCTAAATTTAACATAAACTTTTCCATTCTGTCTGGGGCACATCAATGTAACAAAAAAGGCGCTGTGTGAGATCCACCATTCAATTGGGGCAACGTCAAACTACTACTATTCTGTGGTTTATTTTTTATCGCTGAATTTAATTTTAAGAAAAATTCAATTTTAATCAATTTAATTGAATAATCTAAATATTTTAGCGCAACAGTTTTTAACATTTTTAAAAGAAAACGAAACTGCAAAAGAGCCACAACAGCAACAGCAACAACCAAACTTTAGCACAAAATACCTGAAAAAGGCAAACTTGTTTTTTGTGATATTAAAGCTCGGGCAAGAATGCAATTTGCCGACGGTAAAGTGTAAAAAAGTTACGACAACACAACAGCTAAATGAAAAACCTGTAAAATAAGTTTAAATTGCAAATACATAATAACAACAATAATATTAAACAAACAACAACAGCTACAACACAACAACACTTACATACCTGTTCCCTAAAACTAAACTTAGGCGTTTTATGTTTGTAAGTCTCCGCTTTTTTTCTCATTTTT